CTCCTGCGTCCTGGTCTCTGGCGGCGGATTTCCAGGGTGGCAGTTGCCTCCCTTTCTCTCTCCGCGGCCTCCTTCAGCACCCCACGCTCTCTCGCTATCAACCATAGCGCGAACCACGGCCGGCAGCGAGAGGTCGTACCCCACGATAGTGCACAGCTCTCGGCGCTGCTCCGTTCAGGTTGGGCACTCCTCCAGCGTGTGTTGGGCCGTCTCTTTGGCACATATGTCACAGTGGTGGCATTCCGCTGTGGGTTCCTTCCTCACTACGCGAAACAGATACCTTCCGAAACAACCATGTCCCGTGACGATCTGCGTTGCACGGTAGGTGAGGGTGCCGTGTCGCCTTTCCACCCAACTCCTGAGGACAGGACGTATGGCTTCTACGGTTCTTAGGCCGGCACTGGGGTGCTCCAGCCTCTGCTCTCACTCCCCGATGGTGTTTGAGCGCAGGCGATCACTGCGCTCCCCCAACTCCTCTGGGGCCGGTGAATGGCCCCGGGATTTGGCCGCCTCACGCCAGAAGTGCAATGACGCGAGGATCTTTGCTTCTAAATCCCAAGGCAGGAAGCCGGCCAACAGGTAAGCCGCCTCGCCGGAGATCGTCCGCTAGCCCCGTATGACCCGGATGACCATCACCCTCTGCGGTTTACGCAATAGCGCTTGGCTCCGGCGGTTCAAGGTGTCGGCCCACACGGCAGCTCCGTATAGGGCCATAGACCGCACGACTCCAGCGTATAGGCACGGCAAGAATCGTTGGGGCCGCCAATGTTCGGGAGCAGCTTACCGAGAGCTATGTTACTCGACCTACCCCTCTGTTACTTTTATGTCCCTAAATATATAAGACTAAATTCTGAAATTTTATGGAAAACTAATACTTGATTTCATATTTTCTATATGTAATATAAACTATTCAGGTTATTATATAGTATTATCCGTATGTTCTTATAATTTCAGTCAGTTTAAGTAATTTATAAAGAAAACTAGTTTGTTAAAACATAGAAAGTAACAGAGTATATTTCATTTACATTATTATTAGTACTTACTTTAGAACAAATACTGTGATTCACATGAAACATGTGAATAAATATATAATTAATGTTGATTTCAAAGACAAGTTACCAAAAAATGATTTATTCTTTAACTATGAATAAATGTATGATAGTAACAGAGTTGTTTAATTTTCACCTCACTTTAGTTTCAATTACGTAGAATTCTGAAAATAGACGTAAAAGCTCGCGGCCAACCACGAAATTGTATTTTAAAATGTTATATGCAAATCATGTTATTACCTCTACACTTAAATCAAACATTTATTTTTTTTAAGAATTCAAAATTTATTGTCACTTTTTCTGCCACCGATTTTAAATTGACCCAATTATTCAAACGAGTGATGTCGCCATTGTTATTTAAAATTTAAAATTGTATAGTGTTAATCATAAAATGTGGATTCGATTTCCACAGCAACGAAAAACTTTTAATCCATTATTTCTATTAAAAATAGGCAGGTATTTAAAAACTATTTTTATTAGATCAAATGAAATAAGTGCCATCTATTGTGCAGGTCTTTATCAAAATGTAGGTTAACAACATTATTCAGACAAAAATTATCGAAATGGCTTCAACAGAGGGCGCATCATTCAATCTGTGGCCTATTTTCGTAATGAACATATCATTTCGAATCGTTAGTAATGTCGTGCCAAAAGATGGCGTCAGTATTCCAAAAGTAAAAAATCCTTTTAAGTATTCAAATGTTTAATATTATTTTTTTCGTTTAAAATAAACTTCTTGGATGATATTTATATACGATATCATACATTTATCTACATATATTATAGAGGAGTAGCTCATTGTGCAGGCGTTCGCCTAAAATTACATATAATCGAGCATCCTGAATTCGATCCCCGGTGCTGTCACAATCTTAAGTACTGACTTTACGTGCTCTGTGGTGAATGAAAACATAGGGAGGAAACATGCTTTCGAAAGAATAACAAAAAATCCGAAGATATGCGAGGTCCGCCAATCCGCCGCAGTAACGCCGCGTGGCGGACCATGCTAATACTCTCTGTATAGAGGAGGCTTTTGCTCAGCAGTCGGGCATCCGGCATTACGGTATAGGCTAATTTTCATGCAGATTTATGGAGTTTACTCAAAGCCACAGATAGTTTGTTCGTCGTTTCTTTGTCATAATTATATGTATGCGAGTTTTTTGTTTAATTTACGTTGGTAGGGCCACGCAGCAGCCTCGGCTGTTGCACGAATGGGCAGGCTCGTCCGGGTAAGTACCACGACTTCACAGAAGACCGGCGTAAAGTGGAAATACAATATTTTCAAAAGGTTGTCAACGCAACTGCAACCCTCGGGTGTAGCAGATGTCCATGGTTGGCGGTATTCACTTAACATCGGGTCTCTCGGGACACTAGCTTGCCAACTTTTCACATAAAAAAAATACTTACCTTGTACTTTATAGTTTTTAATTAACCAAAAGTTTTATCCAGAAGAAAAGTAGAAGAGTGTTATTAGGACCACTAACGCGTTGGTCAGTCCGGTGGCAATTAATTATTGAGTATTTCAACAAGCATAAATGTGAATAACTCGAAGACGTAACAATTTTCCACGACGATTGGTCATCAGGAACATCAGGTGAACCGTCTGCTCGTTTGGCAACTTTTCACTTAAAAAATAATAATTATAATCAATGAAATAAGTACAATATACTACTAATACACAAGAATGATTTGTTAACTTTAAATTATTATTTTTTATACTTAATAATTAATTTTCATTATTGACTGCAATTTTCACGATTTACTATTTTGACTAGTTAATTTTTAATTGTTTTATAAACTTTTGTTACTACAAAAAAAGTCTAAGTAATTAAAACTAAGACTGAAAAAAAAGCAATTGAAATTAGTATAAATAAAAGAAAAATACTTCTTTTAACTTCGTTCGGTCGGCCTTCCCAACCCTCTGGTGGTAAGCGCAACAAATTACCCGGACACAAACGCGAACGTCAAGAAGCGTTGCCCGCGAAACGTCCTCATCGACCCGGTCGAGGAACGGGACTTAGATATGTCGGACCCACCGTCGGTGGTCCCGCCGGATAACACTACACCCACAGCGGGTGTAACAACAAACACAATAGTTAGCCCTCACCTCCGAGCACGGCGAGATCAACACAACGCGTACACATGGTACACCCGCGTTCCAGAGCGGTTCTTACCGCCCCCAGCCACCGATTAGCTAAAAGCATAGTCGACGGCCATCGGGGTCTCGGTCCGCACCGCAACCTCAATGGCCCTTAGATGACATGCCGTAGTTAAACGCACACATGAGCACATGCGCCGCCCTACCCACAGCGGAGGGCCCAAACCCGTGGGTTCTGGTTAGCCCACCGGTTCTACGTCAGATGAAGCTTTAATAGTCTCGGAACTGAAAGCACAAATATCAGTTAATACAAGATATAAGATCTCTCGGCTTGAGATGCAGATCAGATTAGAGATTGGGCATCTTGTGTCCGTAGCGTGAGCCATGAGTAACAAACAAAGCATCTTGATAGCTGAATAGATTTATTGCTAGCAAGGTAAAATAATCACAACGAGTCGTAAGATAGTTCCTACACTAGTTTAAAAATGGTTCGGATTTCAATTATATGACATAATAATAAGTGAATATGACAGTGGATATAGAACGTACATTACGGAAAGAGAGAATTGCAATCTATTTAAATCAGTTCGTGTAATTATAGTGCCTCATCCTAGCGCACAGCTAGTGTCATATCTATCTCGTATTTGTACCTAATGTCATTGTATATTAGTAGCAAATCTATATTGCATAAAAATAAATAGGTGAGAACTCTCAGAAGATTCGCGAAGAGCTTCTTAAAAGTAGCAATACTATTTTAATTCTAACTAAAATAATAAAATTTAAAGTATAGTTGCTTGTACTCACAGAGTTCCCTAGACTGTGCTGACTTCACATAAATTAGTATATGATATTTGGTATCGTAAATTAATTAAAGTTTTCATTGATCTCTCTTTGGCCTGTCATTGTAGTTAATTAGAAATATGCAAGTCGTATAATTATCATGAATGGATTTCTTAAGGTATATTTAGTTAAAAGACATTACTTTCAATCTTATTATAGTTTCAAGTATCTTAAGAGAAAAGTATATAAAGAGACGGCTGTGTTTTCTTTCTCATGTAGTTGTCTTTTAACTACCTACAAATTATCTGGCAACTTTTTGGTACTGAAATTGACAAATCTCAACTCGATGACAATTGACAATTATTAGAAGTTGGATTTCAATTTTTATCCGGCTTTTTAATTAACAATAAATTACTATGGGTACTTTGATAAGTACAGTTTTTGCCAATGACTTCAACTCTCAGTGTTGTAATTGCACAATAACATATTTATTTAAACAATTTTAACAACTAATGTATCAGTAAATAAATGGGATCTTTAAAATTAACGACCCCTCACGATGTTAGTGAATTCTCTTCTCTACAACTTCCCGGGCTTGCGATTGAATAATTGACGTGTACGTTGGTGTGTGTCCTGCGCATGCGTCGTAATTTCAGCGAGAAGTGAGCTACGAGATTGCTTAAAATTCTGCACTGCGAGGGCAGTCTAGGCTAGACTACTAGTAGTCGTCGCTCCGGAAGGTCTATGTCTAGTGTCTTGTGAGTTGTTGATCGTATTCGTCTCGACACTACTCGCCGACTGACTGAAAATTAACAGCACCACTGTAACTAAGGTAGGATAGTGTATTTAGAAATATATTTTTGTACATTATTTATATGTTATACTTTTTACACAACGCCTTGCAAGTGCGAAGTTCACTTTTCAGTTTCGTAACGAAAAGTAGTGCAATAACTTTTGTAACCGAGTTCAATGCTTTAATTTTTATTTTTTTCTCCCATTTAATGCATGAAACCAGCATCCACTACTTGCTTGGAATTTTTGAGGCTTATTTTATTCTGTTTTGGTGTTAAGTTGGCATGCAACGCGGTCTGCTGAATGGAGGTTCATACACGGCCCTGGGCCAGGTATACCATGGTACCACTCTTCCTAACAAAAAGAGTGATATTAAGAAATTATTAAATATTGGAGCAGCAGCAAAAAAGAAGTTAGAACCATTTTTCCGTGGAGTTAAGTGTGAAATGACCGAGGCATTAACAGAGTAAGTAGGGAGTTGCTGAGCTTTGCCTTTTTTTTGTTTAATATAATATTCCATTGCTTGCAAACACAAACTTTTTTAATTTGACCACTACTTTCTGTGTGAATGTTTATATTAGTTTTAATGAAATGAGTAAAATTCACTTATGATTAAAAGTAATTGTAAATTTCACAATTTATTATTCAAATTGAAATGTTAGAAAAGTTATAAGTACCAAAAAGTAATTGTAAACAACCCATTAAAAGTAAGCTAAGTAAACTGTACTATTACAGAAAACCAAAACTGCAACTGGAGGAGAACAAAGGCCTAGTGAAAATGCCTACACTTAACGCTGAAGAAACTGCTCTACTCAGGTATGTTGAAAAGTATAATTTCTAAAACAAATTCTCTTAAAAATGTTACAAGAAAAAAATTTAAATAAGTAAAATATGCTGACAAAAGATGAAACTTATATAGTATAAAAATATTACACTAAGTTACATTTTTGTAACCTAAACCATTATCACCATATTGTTTATGATGGGGTTTGTAGAGATAAACTTATATGTCTGACTGTAACACAAAGGTCTCTTGCTGTACAGATATCTTAAAGCTAATAGGGCCCAAATTTGGTATACATTATTTTTTTAAAAAAAACTTTTATTATAATATTCAAATACAATTGGGCAAAGTTGTATATTAAATGTAATAAAAATATGCTATTTACAGTTTTCTATGGCATTTAAAGTATTATCTTAAAATCTTACAAGAGACCAAGTTTTTAATGTTCTTCTTGCTCACATTTCTCCTTGTTGCGCTATGCAAATCCTACTGTATGGTCATGTGAAATTAAAATTCTATGTAATAGATTACCTATGCGTAAAAATCAGCTTGTGGTGCCAAGTTAACCCTATCAACACAAATACTAACTAAAACACAAATAGAGTTTTAGAAATTATGTCTGTGAGTTATTTGAAATACTGGTTTATAAACTTATTTAACAATTCACATGTTAAAGTATTATTAAAATGGTCAATTATCAATACATAACTGCTAAAAAGACTTTAATTTATACAACAGGAAAGACGAGCCGTTTCATCTCTCCACTTACTCTCGCTCCTTCCTAAACTAGTAGTTTACATAGTACATTACTTACATCCGTTATTCACTGTACAATCGACACGCGGTTAACTTGTTGCTGATAAAATTTAATATTATAATTTCTAAGCATATCATAAGACTAGCGTGAAGTAAAGTTTTACACTTCTGCATTTCGTCTGGTGAGTGAGGTAGCTGGGGCCCACTTTATTAAAACGTGGCAACGCATCTGTAACCTAATGGGTGTTGCAAATGTCCATGAGAGGCGGTGATCATAAACATCAGGTGAAGCGCCAGCTCGTTTGCCACTTTCTCACATAAAAAGACACTTATTAAGTTAAAAATATTGACTTATTTTGAATGTCACTAGAAAAACGAAAGAACGTTAAAAAAATCAAAATGCAGCCAACTCTTCCATATCATATATAGGGACATTCAGTTGCTTGTTCTTTTAATAGAATAATGACGTTGTTTAAGACCGGAAATTTTACCATACGGTAACTATAAATTCGTCGCATTTGTACGTAACATCTCTAGTTCTTTATAACTATACCGCAAAACCCTTGGGTTATGGGGTATGTTAACTTAATACGGCTTACACCAGAATGAATTCACTTAAACCAAGTGCCTTTCCTTAAAAAATGATTATAATATGACCACTTCCCGTACGCAAAAATAATGATTGAAAGAATTTCGAAGCTAGAGCACTGGTAGAAACTAGTCATGAGTTTTTTTATGTGAAAAGATGGCAAGTGAGGCGGTTCACCTGTTGTGTTCACCATCGGATGTTAAGTGATGCCTATGCCTATGCCCATAGGCACCGACAATCTCTTAACATCTGCAACACATGAGGGTTTTTAGATTGGTAATTATAAAGTGATTTCTATGTGAAATCACTTAATAATTACCGAAGACGTCCGTACCTCCACCACCGTTTGAATCGATTTGAGGACGCGATTGCCACGTCGCAATAACGAATTTCACCGTTGATATTCGCGAAATGAGTACGGTCGAGTTAATGCATTGGGTGAATATTTTTATGCGAATCGTGTAGAACCTACTATCAAATATCGACTCGATTATCGATTTTACGTTTCTACGAGATATAGAAAGAATATGGATAGATATATATATAACTGCAGAAAGGTAGATATTGAAAGAGCGTTGTTGCTCGGGCAACTATTTACTTTGAAGTGCTAATTATATTAGCTCATCTAGTATACTCGTATGTCGCGGTTTGCATTACATTGAGTAGATTGTAACATTATACCGTAGGTTCTACCGCGAGGTTTTTCTCACTATTTGCAGTACTTCCATTACATAATAAATGTCTGCTAACATTGCACTGATTTTTTTTTAATCCACTAAATGTTACTATTAAGCCCGAGTAAAAGTTTACGATGAGTTTTTAAAATAGTACACACACTGTACACACATATATATTGTTATGTTTTGTTGTTATTAGTATGATAAGTTATTTTGCTTTGTTAACTTGACGGCAAAAACACTCAAGACTAAGTCGAGTATAAGTGGTGTCATCTATCTACCAAGGAAGTCGTAAAATTTCATTAATTTTTTGTTTAAATATCTATTACTCGTAATGAATCCTGATTACTAAACTGTCAGCAGCTTCTTGATTTAGTTTCAAATTAAGCTTGTGTTAAGCAACTGTTACACCATGTTTCTACCTACTTTACTAATTTGAAAGTAACTGGCTTTCCGGTCTCTCAGAGAGCAATGGCTTTCTGCTCCGCGCTCTATTTGGCGCATAGTGTTTTTAATGAATAAAGAGCCCAGCACTGTTTATCGAATGTTTTGTCCGAAGATGCAGTGCGTTGGTTACGGTAATTTTTGTCACAGTTTGAGGAATTTGTCACAGTTTGTCAATCTGGTCGGGCTGGAGCTAAGCAAAGGGCTATTTTTATTACGGAAATATTTGTCGTTCTGAGTTCGCAATAAAAATAGAAGCTAGAAAAGACGTCACTACTACGGTTAAGCTCTGCATGATATTGACCGAATCATCCATTAATGGAAATGTATACAATAAACCAGTAACAAAATCGTAGTCGTCCCAGATATTTTTAAAGTAATCAATTCTCAGATGTATTTTACTTAGAATGTTAATATTACGTTTCCTTGTCATGCTTACATTTAAAATATATTGAAAATCTGTAATGAACAAGGTATTTTGTGATTTTTAACATTATGATGTTATGCATATGATTAAATGCTCAGTCATAACGTTCAATCTATATAATTATATTGAATTAATTTCAAATATGCAGTTTGGCTTTATTCAGAAAAAAATTAAGTGAAATCTCTGAACTTTCTTCATCATCATCATTTCAACCTGTAAACGTCCACAGATGAATAAATTTCTCGCCACAGATGAATAAAGTCCTCTAGAGATTTATACTTCGATCGGTCACAAGCGGCCTGTATCCAGGGAAGTTAGTACATCTCAATTAAATAAAACATAATTCGATGAACTAAAAAAACTAAGGCTGTGCTTTGTCTTCGATTCAACCAGATTTTATTTGTGTCTACAGCAACCTTTATGACTAGAGATTTCCTTATTGTATTAATGCTTAGATTTAAATCTGTAACGGAGAAGAACTTGCAGCTTTAGCAAATAACGGCTAATCTAAAAGAACACGGGAATCTAAACGTATCTCTCAAGAAATTTTGGACTGCAACAGAGTTCATGTATATCTTCTTTGATTTACCCTTATGTTGCTTATTACAAGTGTAAAGAAAATAGTCTGATGATGATTGAATGGAAGTTTGTCCCACGCATTGGCTTTTGTATGTCTGAATTAACTAACAATCATTAGGTCGTCATAACTCATGTTGCTTTAAATCAGTTTATTTAGACCTTATACCCCACAGCGCACGTGACATTTTTATTAAACGGTTTTATTTACGAGTAGCTTGAACTGTTTGGGTCAAATCTAGTAATCGAAATTTGACCTCCTTCCTGTTGACGCATTGATCTGATATTTGGTACGCAACTTTAGTTCTGATAACAATACAATTTAATACATTTGGTATCATTGTAAATCCAAGATGGCCGCCGCTACAAAATGGCGGATTACATATTTTATCACTAATTCCTCAATATGGGTATCAAATGAAAGGGCTTGAATAGCAGATTAGAGTTATCTATAAAAATAAAATGAAAATCCAATATGGCAGGTTCATTTTTCTTTCAACAACCCCTTCAATATGAGTATCAAATAAAATGTCTAGAAGATTAGATTAAACAGAGTGTGTAGTAAAAATTTGTAAAAAAAAATTTTACGTTAAACGGTTTTACGCGTAACTTGGGTAAATATATAAATAGCGTTTAGATTTAGTGTTTGACTTGATAGAAATTTCACACGCCCAAGGATTATATTTTTTTGTCTGATCAATACCCTAAATTAACGAGGAGAGTGGTAATGACTACTATTTTGACCGAATTATTTTATAACTTTTAGTTCATTGTCTATATAATTTTAATCTTTTATTTCGCTTAACTCAATTTTTTTACGAATTTTATTTTTCTGTGCAACTATAAGTCTGACCGAGATTGAGGCTAGGCACCGCGAGCACCCTGCCACCTCAAGTCTGGCGAATCTGTAAAGGCCCGTTAGGCCAACAGTGACATTAAAAAAATATATGAGTCGGTAATGAGATCAAGTATGTATATTAAAATTGTTGTTCCATTCCCTCATTTGTATCCTTGTCTCTTTATGTTGGATTGATGTATGATGTATTAGGTAATCTAATTTTCATTTCATATCCTTCGGAATATTTCAGTGCTTAAAGACTTAATAAAATCATAGGAATACAGGTGTATATTAAGTGATAATAATTTCACCGAATATCGTCATGTTTATAACCGGCTATTAAGTGCTGTACTTTAAAATAGCACTGCTCATCACTGTCTTTGTATAGATGAATAATATGACGGAATCGTACGCCCGTTTGTAAATTGCAACTTTTGCTGTCGGCCCAGCGCGATCTGGACGCCTGCCAATAAGCGCGGTCGATGCCATGCTTCGACCGAAAGCAGGGCACGGAGAGACCTAAACTTCAAACGGCGGTCATGCGGCCTTATTCCGAAAAGGATATTTTATTTAGCACTTTCACTGCGAATGGTGCACACATTGCGTCTAAATTTACTCACTTAGCTGGGGCCGCTAAGCCTGTTAAGTTATAATTAGATCGAGTTTGTAAAGGTTAAGCTACGTGTCCTTATTGAATAAAACTGTGTGGTTTCGCAATAAATAGT